ATGGTTGTATATTATTCCCATGGGTTTGCAACACGAAGATCTGTGATCCGCAAAGGATTCAGTCGTTCATCCACGCCGTTACCCGATTGGAACCAAATCTAGCCGCGAGCCGCAACCCGCTACCTCCCATCGGAAAGTAGCTGACTAAATACCACACCAAAGCGACGAGCTGCACAATCGACGAAAATAGAGTGAGAATTGTGGAGTGGAGCTGACGCGGGTAATGTCAGCAATGTCTTGCAGCATCGCGACAAGGCTATGGATTCTACTTACACCGACGGCAAAATAGATGGTCATGACGATGGAACCAAAGTAAGCGGCGGTGAATGGTAGACGAGGGCCTGAAAGCAAGTGTGTTGCGTATTGTACCGGGCCCATCAGAAAGGCCCAAGATGCCAGAAACATCAAGGAGCCGACCGACCACCTATCGCGACGCGTCAGCCACACGCACGACTCCATTTAGACACATGCACAAATTCAGGTTCTGATTGCCAAAGACACGCCTCGCAGGGGTCTTCCCGAGCATGCGCTTCAAGCTCAATATAGAAAAGAGCTGACATCATCATGGGGTGCACGCGCTGTCACATGGCCCGTGGCCCAGCGCGTGGTGGTGTGTAGCAAATGCCGCAAAGGCGGGAGTAACTCCAGCAGACTCACAGAATTGCGAATTTTCGTGGCTTTAGGGACAGAACCGGAAGCAGCACAAAACAGATAACAAAACATGCCAGCGCTGCAAGATTACAGCCGCCAAAAATCAACAAGCGGTCCCATCGGCTTACTGTGAAGTCACAAATTTTAGTAACCCTTATACCTGCGGATTTTGGATGTTCTGTATTCTTGGACAGGAGTCATGCGCAAAGGCGACTTACATGCGAACCACCCCTCTTCTTCCTCCCTCCTCGTCGGCGCCGGTAGTGGTGCTCCGGGAGCCTCGTGTGTAGGTAATTGGACATAGCCCTTTCCTCCAAATGGATTGAGCGACGAGATCCTGGACAACAACGGGTTTGACGACGACGTATTGGCCGGCACGTCCGGATCTCTTCTCGACCACCCCAAGGAATTCATTGACTCTCGAAAAGAAGACGACGCCATTTGTGAGCAGTCAATCCTCCCCAGTTCAGACTGCTCTACCCGGACAATGACTCTGTCTGCAACAGACGTGACACCTGTTACGACGACGATCTGCCCCCTTTGGGTCTTTTGGTCCTTCAGACAGACGGGCCTGGGTCCTTTAGAAGCTCCGAAGGTTTTTACTGCCAGTCGGAGAAAGGCAGACACCAATTGGAGGAGCGACGAACGTTGGAATGTCTTTTGACTTTAGCCCAGTGCCAGGTTCTCGCGTGTGACCAAGACCCAACTCAAGACGACCTCGCGGGATGACAGGACCGAAGTAGATGTCAGAGTAATGCTGTGCAAGGACAATCCACTCCGAGGCGCAACAATTGAGATCTTGTGGAGGGAGAGCAGATGGGGATAGGCACGATAGGCAGAACCGGAGGGCAGGATTTTGCCGGCTGCCTGCAGAATGTTTCGCTTTGCAAGTCGACAGCCTCCGGAGTTCACCGAAGTTGCCGACAAGGCGGAGGAAGGATTCGAGGTCGATGGAGTGGATGGAGACTCGAAAGGGAGGTGGGAACTGCGATAGCACCAAGGCTGTCAAGGGCAAAGTCTCGAAGAGGCCAGAGCGTGAAGCCCAAAGCAGAGAGGTCCGGCTGTATCGAGCGGAAAGTTGGAGAGGGTGAGCGACCAAGACAAGTCCGAGCGCAGTTGCGCAGATCCAGCGTCTGGATTGCTGGAAGGAAGGTGCCACGGTTGCGCTAAAAATTGACCCAGACCCCCAAAGGTGATTTGGGCCAGGCATCCAATCACCGCTCCACCCCGTCCCTCCACCACCCCTCTATTCCCCCCTCCTTTTGGCGGTATGTATGTAGGTATTGCTCGCATATTGCGCCAGGTCTGACCGATTGCCCACGGCAGCTTAGAGGAGCTTAGAGCATGCTATGCCGTGAACAGGATCGCGACGCTGCTCGTATCCCGGACTGAGGTCATCAGCCCAAGGGCTGAATGTCCGCCGCTAAGCCCACAAACTTCAGTTACTACTATCAGCTTCCCAGTACCGTCGCAGTTCTGGTAAAGCGTCACTTTTTAGTAAGAACTACGGGTGCTGTACAAGGCCGGACAAGCCAGCAGCCAGCAGCCAGAGCCCAGAGCGCGACCAGCCAGCGGTTCGTCCCATCCGCATGTTCTTGCAACATGGGTACCCTCTACCCATGCTCGTCCCCGTCAACTTGACTAATGCACGAGGAAGCTTCTCCACGGTGTAACGGGCGCATCCGTCGTACTGTGAGAAGCGTATACATATATGTAAAGAACGCAACACTGCATGAGTGATGGCGATCTATCCTGCATGCTGAATGCAAAGCATGACAAGGTCGTGATATTGGCCGGCGTCGAACAAAAGGACGAACCTAAGCAGTTTCCGTGAATCTGATCGCTCGTGTCGTGTCGTACAGCATTCCAGAGGAGAGCACAGACCTCAATTCAACCCGGGCGTCTTTGCTACAGAACGTGCTACTTTTCTCCGGCTGAGGATGGACGGGGCCCGTGGGTGAGCAATGAGCATGGATTCGGGGTTTGCGAAGACAGTCATCCGCAAGCATCAAGACTTTTCTGGAAATGCTGTAAATACCATGGTACGCACCTCGCAGCCTTGACGGCCCCTCTTGTGCCTCTAGTGAGCAGGAGATTGTGGCTTGGCTGGTCGGAGTGATGTCGCTTGGGGGGCCACTTGACCCAGCTCATCCTGATCGACTGATGTAATGCATGCCTTGATATACAAGTCATGCCGCAGCGCGGGCGACGAAAGGGTGTATGTACATAGCCATGCGGGCAAGAGAACGAACTCTGTGCCAGAGTCATGAGCCTTCCAACACGGGCACCCGAGACAAGGCCAAGTTGGCAAACATAACAGATATGGTCGAGGGAGGGGTGGGTGCTCGTTCTCTCTCATCCCTTGCCGCCTCGTCGCCTTCTTTCCCTCCAAGACCTGGAAGACCCAAGGAAACCCAGGGTTCACACCCTTTCGCGGGGTCCACCCGTTGCTGCTCATCCCACTCATATCAGACCAGGGTCCAAGCCTCGCGCATGTATTTCGATTGGGTTTTCCGGTCGTATCCGGCACCCTGCACGCCGCCTCATGTGGCTGCGCATGGAATCAAATGAGGAACTATGGTGGAGGTGCATACGCAAGAGGAGTGGCAGCTGGAGGATGGACGGTTGAAAGGACAGCCTGTACTTGGTACTGGTTGTGACGAGCCAGCCTTGCATGCACATATAAAGAGATCGACTGATCCGGGTTGGACGTAGCGAGAAGTTATCGTCCGTCTAGATTTTCCCCTAGTGCACGTCGGCTCAATTTGTTCGAGCGCATACATACGTACCTACTATCTTTCTAATTATCGCCTTACCTTCTCTTCCATCTCATCTCCATCGGCTTGCCCCTCTCTCTTCTCTGCGGGATCGTCCATGCCTAATGCTACTGCCACTGCCTACTGCCTACGAGATACATCCTACCACCGTGCCACTACCATCCTGAGTATACCACACAGTGCCCATCTGCCTGTCGACCTGCCAAGTGTCAACCTTGGGGTGACGCACAGTCCAATTGAGTCGTGTTCGTGGCGTGAGTGGTGGTCTCTTGAGTCACCGAGTCATCGAGTTGGTTGACCTGTTGCCGCTTGCCGCCGCGTATTGCAGCCCCGCCCTGTGCCAAGGATCGAGTTTCGAGTCCAGATCGACTCGAAACTCCATTGGCAGACTCGAATCGCAGCGAGAGCCACCAGAGCTGGTTTGCGGTGGGCGTCCACTCGCCAACCCAGAAGCCAGCGACGCCACTGCTCTTCCCCCCCTCGACTTCTCCGTCGTCCTTCTCCTGGTTCCCGCTCACTCGGCCACGGTAAGAGTCGGCCGCACTCAAAATTCACTTCCCCAAGGTGCCTCTCTCTTGCTACCACTGCCACCAACCCTTGACCTGACTGTACCCTCCCTCCCTCCCTCCACACTGGCATCTAACAACCACACCGCATCCCTCCTTCAACCACAACCACGACAACCCCGGAGCCTCGCCATCCCCCGGACACTCTGTCCTGTTCTGTTTTGCCTTTGCCTCTCACATAGATTACGACGACTTCTGACATTGACGACATCGAGTTGTGCTACTTGTACCTGCGACCCACGATCCCTCGATTCAGCGCCGATCCCACCACCAATCTTCTATCCGACCTCTTGCATCTGCTAGTCGTTCAGCTTCACCCCCACGACCTCTATCTCGTCCAAATCTCAAGCGCAAGTCGCAATTTGCGCTCTTCTTCACTCTTGCGCCCCTCCAACCGTGCGACCCTCCAACCGTGCGACTCATTTTCCGCGATATCATCAAGGCAACCCGAAAAGAGGCGGTATCGGCGATTTGGGTCAGATATCACTCCCGGAACACACACGCCGGCGGAGAAATCCCCTTGACCTGTCTGCTGGTGTTCGAATTGGGACGGTTGCGGTCGCTTCGCACGCTACGCCACGCAGAGTAGCGAATATCACTTACAGTTACACGACGGAATACGGCCGGGCGACTGTGAATCATCGCTGACAGCGCATACGACCGTCAGCCTCGTCCGTATCTTTGACTGGGACTTTCTCGGCACAGATGGTCACTACGTGACGACGTCAAACAAATCAATTCACTACAAACCCATTCACTACCGGTGTCACTGGGACGGGATTACCCTTGTCCCCGTGCCTTACCTTCATTACGACCGCTTAACCGAGTCAGCAGTTCCAATGGCTATAGCTGCCTGACAGCCGCTTGGTTCCTCTTGTTTGCTGCTGAGTGATATCAAGGTCAAGCACGCGAGCTAAGCTCTTTTATTCTTATTGCCACCCGAACCCGACCGCAGTCCTTCTCACCTTTTCCTTTGTTTTGGATCATGACACATTCTTCAGCCGGTATGCCTTACATTAAGAGCGAGCCCGATGACTTCGGCAACAACCCTAATCGATTCATGTCATCGGCCAACTATGGCAACTCTCAGAGCTATGGCAACCAGTTCAACAACCAGCAAGATGGCGGGAGCATTGACCCCTCACAACTCTCCATGCCGACTACCAACTATGGCAGCATGCCATACAACTATGGCGGAAACGCTATCTCGTCCAGTTTCGGCATCGGCCCTGTGAGCGCCGGCTACGCCGACAGCGAGTTACTAGAGTCTCTCGACTTCGGAAACAACAATGGCCAAGGCATGTTTGATGATTTCACTATGGCGAATCCACCGAACAGCAATAACAGAAATCCAGGTGCCGTCCAAATGGACCAGCAGAACCAGGTGCCACACGTCTATTCAAGTACGCCCGACGGACCTCCCATTCAGAGCCCATTCCTAGGCACCTTTGACTACAATCAATTTCGGCCCATGGGCTCCCTTCCCACGCACATGTCGCCTCATCAGGGCTCCCAATTTGGAAAGCGTCCTAGCATTCAGGCGACAAATCGGAAATCGTCCGATCAGAGATCTCCTCTGACTCCACGTACGGCTGGGATAGCGGGACTTCAGATCGGGACCCCAGAGTCGGGAAATCTCGCCAATGGTCGCCCCATCCGTGCTCCAAATGTCCAGAACCGACATGCTAAGACCTTGTCGGGACAGTACGACAGCACTCCCGGGAGCTTTCATTCATACCTAGATTCTCCGTTGTCATCCCCTGGCAATGGCATTCACCATGCTGGCATTTCTGAGACACTTGGACCTGGTCATCACGCCTCCCTGCCTGCCAAAGTCGATACCGGACTCAGCACTAGCAATGCAGAGACTGCCGAGGCGAAAAAGCGGAGGAGACGGGCATCCCACAACGCCGTTGAACGGAGACGGCGGGACAATATCAACGAACGCATCCACGATTTGTCTCACTTAGTGCCCCAACATCGCTTGGAAGATGACAAGATCAAGAAACAGCTGCAGAGTAGCGGACCGCTGTCGCCCACTACTGGCGCCACGAGCATGAGCCCGCCAAATGCTAACAGTGCTGCCACGTCATTACTTGCAGGTGCAGCCGGTCGTCGCGCTGCCAGCACTGCTGGGAATATCACGATTGGATTGCCGGTTGAGGAAAAGGAGAAAGGTCCTAACAAAGGCGACATCCTCAACGGAGCAGTGGCATGGACTCGGGATCTTATGTGGGCGCTTCATCAAAAGTACCAACAGGAAGATGAACTGGCGCAATACATCCAAACGATAGGTGGTCAATGGCCTTTCCAAGTAACAGAAGACGAGAAGCGCATGCGTTCCGAGGTGTTAGATGCTATGGAGAAAAATGATTCCAGCACCTTTTCCTACTCACGCACAGATGGCTCCGGGCTGCGGGTCCCTCGGCACACCAATGTCGCCGGCGAACGAATCCAAAACAACAATCCCAGCCTCAGTCCTCAAAGCAACTTCGAACTCAGCCCTGGCTTCCATAGTGGAGGCAGCGGCACCAACAGTGGCAGCAATGGGCCTGGCCAAACACAATACTGGCACAGCGCTGGACATACAGGCATCAGCTTCAAGGAAGAAGACGAGTTCATGGACATGAATTGACGAACTTGGCACGGCGATGTCTCGAGACGAATGCCGCCTCGGGAGGAACGCGAGTGACAGAGACAGCACCAATAGCGTTCACTTTCAACGTCAAGGCCACAGATGCTGACTCTTCACACCTGGGTCGATAACGGAGAAGTATATGAGGGTGGGGAAATTCTGCCGGCTGATTATCTCTCTCCGTCGAACATTTCCACCGACATTTGGGATGCGACGTTCCCTGTACTTGCTGGATGGGGTTTGTGGTGGAGTGTTCCACGCCGTTGATTTTTGTCTTTTGTTTGCCTGGATACCCCCTCGTTCTGACATTTCATCTTTTCCTTTGTAAGCTGGCGCACATTTGAGGGATTGTATCTCTTATTTTTTTTTTCCCAGTCAAAGGCAGAGGGCAGAGCCAGGCCTGGGACGGACTTGTATTGTACTCGGTAGGTAGACACGGAGGATCCACGCCGTGATCTGATAGCATGGATCATGACTTAGTGGGTAGGGAATCCATGATACTAGTAATAGTTTGAATGAAAGGGTTGTGTCTACATATCGCCCTAGTTAGTTCCATCGTCCATCGTCGAGGGCATGGACTAGGATTCCTGTTGAGCCATCCACGTTCCACCAGTTCACGATCCGCAGCTTGGCCGATCTGTTATCCGAGACCCGGATATGCCTACCGAGAAGTCCGTTTGGGGGACCATTCACAACGCCAGTCCCCTGATTTTCCCGCTTCTCCAACTGGAGGGAGCAGAGGGAGCAGCCACTTTTTCTTCGCCAAAGTCCCCCAAAGTCGCGAAGTCGGAGACGACTTTGTCCCCTGCGCCCAAAACATTTTCCTTTTAACAATCCTTCCTACCTGCTTTTCTTCTGCTCAAACCCTCTGTGAAGCAGACACGGATTTTCCACGGTGTTGCTTCAGCTGAGTCCCTTTCTCTCCCTGTGCCCCTGTCCTCTCCCCCCCTTGCGACCTTTGTGTCTTTGCACTCCTCTCGCTACTCCTGCGCTTACACGTTCGCCTTCGCCTTGTCGTGAACGGAACCGGATATCGCACACACAATACTTTAGAAGCAAGATGACGGAAAAGCCGTTGGGCTTCGGCTACCAGATCGGTGCCGGAGCTATTGCTGGTGTCTCTGAGGTACGTGGAGAATGCAGATAGCAGCGAGAAGAAACAGGTATCTCCATTCAGAGCTCTAGCTGATCACAGTGTTTAGATTCTCATAATGTAAGTCCCAGTGCCGCATGTTGTGCACGTGAGACCAGAATATCGCAAATCGCAAGATGTTGCCGACCAATCTTTTAACCAACGTGCTTTGTCCAGGTATCCGTTGGACGTAGTCAAAACGAGAGTGTGAGTTCAATCGCCGGGAAGTCCAGATGGTGTAGACAACACCCAGCTAAACATTTCCTGCTCGCACCAACAGACAGCTTCAGGGCAAAGCACCCGTCCCCGGCCAAGACTACTACACTGGCATGTTCGACTGCCTGCGCAAGATTGTCAAGAATGAAGGTCCCTCTCGGCTATATCGCGGCATCGGCGCGCCCATAATGATGGAGGCACCTAAGCGAGCGACAAAATTCGCCGCAAATGACTCGTGGGGTGTATTTTACCGGAATCTCTTCGGCGTGGAAAAGGCTACTCAACCTCTTGCGATCCTGACCGGCGCGACAGCCGGCGCGACAGAGGCGTTCGTCGTGGTGCCGTTTGAACTGGTCAAGATCAGATTACAAGATCGCGCGTCGGCGGGCAAGTATAGCGGAATAATGGACTGCGTCGTCAAGACGGTGAAGAGCGAGGGACCACTGGCGCTTTACAACGGACTGGAGTCGACCCTGTGGCGGCACATCCTCTGGAACGCAGGTTACTTCGGGTGTATATTCCAAGTCAAGTCGCTCATGCCCAAGGTCGACAAATCCGACCGCGCAAAGGCGATGCTGAACGACTTCATCTCCGGCACGATCGGTGGCACCGTCGGTACGATCCTGAACACACCCATGGACGTGGTCAAGTCGCGTATTCAGAATTCGCCCAAGGTCAACGGACAGGTGCCTAAGTATAATTGGGCATGGCCTGGTCTGGGCACGATCATGAAGGAGGAAGGCTTCGCCGCGCTGTACAAGGGCTTCTTGCCCAAGGTGCTAAGATTGGGTCCTGGAGGCGGAGTGTTGCTTGTCGTGTACACCGGAGTGATGGACTGGTTCCGAAAGATGGGCGCTCAACCAATCGGTTGAGTGTGTGTATGTGAGAGAGAGAAAGAGGGCAAGGGGGAGAACTAGAGAGTCTTGTGTGAGCGAAGGGAGGAGGTTCTCATTTTTATTTTTTGCTTTTCTTGGTCCTCGTCTCCTGATTGAGAAGTCGAGCCCACAGACTCGAAAGGAAGCTCTTGCGCTTGGTTAACCAGCGCGTAAGCACAGTAAAGGAAGAGAGGGAGGGGGAATCTCGCAAGCATCGCATACGTCGCATAGAAGCAGATAGAAAGAGAGAAAGGCCTGATACGCAACAACGGGGGGTTCTGATTTCTGCAACATACGGGAGGTTTCGAGTTAAAGAAAAGGGCTGAAGGGCACACAAACTATTGAATACTGACACTACTTAGTTTTCTTGACTATTACATTTGGTCTTGCCCTTCCTCATGCTCTTGCTCCTGCTCCTATTTCGGGTTCCGGGGTTAGTTTTGTTCGGCTCATCCTATACAGTATGAGTCCTCCTGTGATGTGTTCATGCCAGCTCAGACATGCAAACATACTGTACTTAACCAGTACTATACTCCATTCTCGATACATTGTTAGGTAGCTCTAGTCGATCCCCCTTTGCTTCTGTTACATACCATACGTACCACCAGTCCTAACTACAGACTCCATCCTGCGTCCCCCAGAAAAAGGGGGGATGAAGACATAGCTATGAAGGTAGGAAGGGTGAGTGAGATAGATAGGTGAGAAGGGGTGCTTTGGCGCGCAGAGGCCTATGGCCTCCTTCACTTTCCAACTGCATATGTATTCAACCGGGCATTTTTCTCCCTCGCTCTCGGTCTTGCTCTTGCTCTCGCTCACCCTCTGTTTTGGAGTCCGAGTAGATCCATGCAAGATGAGTCCGGATTCATATCCAGACGTGCAAGACTCGACGCCCTATGCATACAGGATCAAATGCTTGTGCCAATGACAATACCGATGCCTACCCATGTTGATATCCAAACCAATGCCAATGCCCGATGCTGATGCCGATGCCAGTAACTCCCAGTGATATTCAAGACATACTCCACGACACAAGATCAGGTATCCCGGCCAGCGACAACCTCGATCTACTTTGCCCGTCTGACATACCATCTCGACCTTGTGCCTTCTTCGAGCTCGACAATGACTTTTGATGGTGGCCGAGACCCTGTTTTCTGCTTGTCTCCCCGGTTCCCCTGCACGTCCGCAGCGCCATTGCGGCATTTTGATTTGTTTTTGTTTACGTCGGCGTTCCCGTTCTCATTTTCCCTTGACCTTTGAAATTTACTCTGCTCAACATCTGTCTCAGCGGATTCGGTGATCTCTTCATCATTCACTTTGACAATGATTTCCCCGAAGGATTGGGCCTTAGGGTCAGTGCCTTCGTTCGCTTTCGGGCGTATCTGGAGCGATCCTTCGGTTTTCACTGGTGACGCATTGCCATTTCTTTGCCCCTGTCTACCTTGCTCTCTTTCGGAACTCGGGTTCTTCGTGGATAGATCCTTCGTGTTAAGAGATTTGTCCCTAGTCCAAAATCTCTCTTTCAACGCGTCTTCCCAGCCCGCCCGCCGAGCAATTTCTTCCAGGACTAGATCACACTCCCCCAACAGTTCGATGTCAACCTTGACCCCTTCACGTTGGCAGCGGTCCTTACTGATCCATATTTGTGGCACTGTTGGAGGGATGTTAAGGAGCATTTCATTCACGGGCTCAACTTTGAGAGACGTGCCAACGATAACGAGCAGATCGACTTTGCTTTTGTCAATTTTCAGTCGCGGAGCATAGGAATCCGCTATGTCCTCGCCGAAGAAAGTCATGTCCGGTTTCAGCAGACCCTTGGGGAAATCCGTTTTGGCTGCTGATTCTTCAGAGTCTGTGTCTTCAAATTCATCGCGCTTGCGTTTCTTCTTGCTGCTGCGCCCGCGGTGCTTGACGTTACTTCTGGGTTTTGGACCCCCGTCGAGCAGGGTGCATTTGCAATAGGGGACTCCTCCCGCCCGCACGACAGGCATGTATTTCCTGGCTGTCGTCCGTTTCCCACAGCTCATGCAGGTGGCGGTTGCCAATGTGCCATGGCATTGGATCAACTTCGAGGAGGAAACACCAGCAGCCAGCTCTAGCCCGTCGATGTTTTGGGTATAGTTGGTCAAAAGCTTCCCTTTTGATTGCAGCATGGAGATGAAGGCGTGCGTCAAACTGTACTTTGGAACCAAGGGCACAGAGATATCGTGGACTGATCTGGTTGAGTCGACGGCCCTATCAGCGGGCACAAGGCCTTGCATCTTGGGAAACACCTTCGCAGCTTGCTTAAAAAACTCTTCCGGGTCGGCTTTGAAATTATCAATATGGAACAGTTCCTGTGGATCGTCGTATACCGAATCGACGAGGAGATTGTAAACGCCATTGGCAGAACGAAAATCGGGAACCCCCAGTGAAGTCGAAATACCCGCACCCGTCAGCACAATGATATTCTTCGAGGATTTGAAGAGTGAGACGGCATGGTCCAGAGTGTAATACTGATTCAAGCGGGGCCGGATTTGCGGAACTCTGTTCGCGGGGGAAGAAAGCCTTCGGGGCGGTAGTGATGACGCCCTGTCTATGTTTAACTGATGAATGCGAAGTAGTTTAGATGGCGACGGCCGACCGGGTGAAGTGTCAAAATAAGAAGTGCCATCCCGATGGGCGGGCGAGTGAGGTGCTGAAGTCGTCATCGTTGCGCGATCAAACGTTCTCGGAAACTGTGTGATAGTCGAGACTTGAGCGGCGTTCAGTGTGGTCTGGAAGTCGTCTGTTTCAGGTTT